GGGGTAGAGGGGAATAGGCGGTGTTGGAGCAGAAGGGGGTTGCCGGGGGAGAAGAGAGGGTGTTGGAGGGAGCTGGGAAAATGGGGGTGCTGGGAGGAAAGAGGGAGCGTTGAGGGGAACAAGGTACTGGGGAAAGAGGGATTCAGAGGAGAATGGGGTGTGTGAGGAGGAAATGGGGAAAGCGAGGGCACAGGGAGCAGAGGGGTGCTGGGGGTACGGGATGCTCTGAGGGGCGGGGCAGAGCTCGCCGTGTCCCAGGGGGGTTTGCGGGGCCCCCTCGGTGCGGTGCCGGCCCCGCCCGGCAGGGGGGGCCGTGGGACGGGCGGAGTCACCGGCCCGGGGGCGGGACCGGAGCGGGTCCGGGGCGGGTCCGAGCGCCGATGGCGGCGCCACGCGCGGTGCTGCTGCTGAGCGGGAAGAGGAAATCGGGGAAGGATTTCGTGGCCGAGGAACTGCGGAGCCGGTACCGGGCGGGGCCGGGGGCGGGGGCGTGGGCCGGAAAGGCCCCGAGGGCGAGTCCGGTACCGGAGGTGTGGGTCCGGTACGGGGGGATGGAGAGATCGGGACTCGGCCGAGCGGAGCCGGTACCAGTGCCAGTCCCGCTGACCCCTCTCCCGCAGGCTGGGCCCCGACGTCTGCACCATCCTGCGCCTCTCCGGGCCCCTCAAGGAGCAGTACGCCAAGGTACCGCGGCCGTGCCACACCCCGAACCACGTCACACCGCGCCGAGCTGTGCCAGGACACTCCTTGCCGTGCTGTGCCGTCCAGCACCATGACATGCAGTGCCACACTGTGCCGAGCTGTGCCATGCTGCACTACACTGTGCCCCTCCCCACCATGCCATGCCATGCCATGCCATGCCACACTGATCTGTGCTAGGGCACGTGCTGTGCCGTGCCTTGCCGTGCCTTGCCATGTGCGTGCCACACCACAGTGCCGAGCTGTGCTGTGCCATGCCATGCCATGCCATGCCATGCTGTGCCATCCCATGCTCATGCCATACCACACTGTGCCATACTGAGCTGTGCTGACCCATGACATATCACACCTGCCCTTGCTGTGCCATGCCATGGCATGCTGTTCTCCATGGCCCAGACCATGTGCACTGACCCTCCTCTCCCTGCAGGAACACGGCCTCAACTTCCAGCGGCTCCTGGATGCCAGTGCCTACAAGGAGACGTTCCGACAGGACATGATCCACTGGGGCGAGGAGAAGCGCCGTGCCGACCCTGGCTTCTTCTGCCGGGCAGCGGTGGAGGGGGCAGTGCACCCGGTGTGGGTGAGCTGTTGGGGGGCACGAGGGGTGCCAGAGGGGCACAGGGTGGGCGCTGAGGGAGCCCCCGCACAGGTGGTGAGTGACACACGGCGCCTCTCGGATGTGGAGTGGTTCCGGGATGTCTATGGGGACGTGGTGCAGACCGTGCGGGTGGTGGCTACCGAGGAGACAAGGAAGAGGAGGAACTGGGTCTTCGTCACTGGTGAGCAAGTGAGGGGCAGCTTCGCTGAACACAGCACCAAAACCAGGGGTTGACCCACAGGCACGGGTCTGCTGCCTCCACTGCCACTCCTTGGCAGTGGGAGCCAGAGGTTTTGGATCCAGCCCCCCAGCTCTGGGGGCGATGAGGCCATAGTGGGGGGGACAGACGGACAGATTGTGACTGTCCTCGGGGCCTCCCCGGGCTCTGCTGCTGCCAGGGGTGGACGATGCCGAGTCTGAGTGTGGCCTGGACCAGGGAGTAGCCTTCGACTGGGTGATCACCAACGACGGGGATGAGCTGGCCTTGGGCGAGCAGCTGGAGACACTGCTGCAGGCGCTCCACAGAAGCCTATAGCTCCATGTCCCTCCACTGAGGCTTGGGGACCACATCCCCCCTCCCCAGCCCCCCAGCATCCCCCCTTCCACCTTTTACCAGCACTTTCTGTTCTGGAATAAAGCTCCGATATGGAGAACCACTGCCACGCTGGGGCCGTGTCTCATTTCTGAAGGAGGGACACACAGGCTGGTGTCCCCTCACCCCTGCCATGAATTCACCAGTTTTTGAGAGCAGAGGTGCATTTTAATTACTTCTGCCTGGGCAAGGGGGTCACCAGCTGGATGCTTTGTGGTGTCTTTTAATAAGGTTTCCAGCAGCCAATTCCCTACGGATTATCTCTGCTTCCCAAGCTCCTACCCTGATATCCACTCCTCTCCTGCAACAGCTGGGCACGGCCGGGGGGGTGTTCCTGAGTGGGCTGTGGGGTTGTAGAGGGGGATTAGGGCCCTATATACACATCTATAGCTTCATATCCCATACTCTGGATCTACCATCAGCCTGACCCCCACCTTGGGGACATGCTGGGGCACACACACGCACACACACGCACACACGCGCACACACCCCTGCCATCCATGGCGTGACCCACCCTCAGGATGGAAGCACACACTCCAGCTGCTGCTTGTAATCTCCAGCCTCTGTAAGGGGATTAGGGGGGTTCATACAAGGGGAGGGGGGATGCCCATGGGGGAACCCAGTGGGTAAAACTGGTGAGGGGTCGTTTGGGACTTGTGCGTCAGGGCACACCGGTCCTGGCACCCGGTGCAACCCCATGCACTACAAGTCCCGAACGACCCCGCAGAGATGCAGGAACCGGGGGTGTGATGAGGGGGGGAGATACAAAGCGGGGAGCGGGCGGGGATGATGTCAGCCTGCGGGGAGCCCCAGCGTGGCCAATGGCGCTGCGGGGCCGGGCCAGCGGCAGCGGCGGGGGCGGTGGCGGTGGCGGCGGCGATAGCGGCGAGCGCACGGCGCCCATTCATGATCCAGCGAACGGGGCCGGTGGCCAGTAAAGCGGGACCGGTGCCCTGTAAGGCGGTGCCGGTACCGCCGTTATGGAGACATCGGGGCATCTCCACGATTCGGGCGTGGGGGACTTGGAGGAGGATGGTCGGTGTCCCTGCCCGCTACCGGGGGATGAACGGTCACCGCCGCCGCCCTCCGCGCTGCCGCCGCTTCAACACAGCCTGTTGCACTCCTCGCCTGGGTCGTTACGGGCCCCTCCTCCTCCTCCCGCCGCCCCCGCCGCCCTCCACCCTTCCTCCCGCCACGGCAGCCAGCTCAACCTCGGCGACCACCCAGCGGGCTCTGGGGTGACGAGTGGCAAACACCGGCAGCCCAGCCCCTTGGTCCATCGGCGGGACAGCAACCCCTTCACCGAGATTGCCATGAGCTCCTGCAAGTACAGCGGAGGGGTGATGAAGCCCCTCAGCCGACTCAGCGCATCCCGACGGAACCTTATCGAGGCTGAGCCAGAGGCACAGCCCCTGCAGCTCTTCGGTGCTGGTGGACCTCCTGAGATCGTTGTCTCGCGTGAGGACAACCATGCGCCCGCCACCCACCGTCCCACCCGCCCGCCCGCCCGCCCGGCCCCCGCCACCTTTGCCAAGGGGCCCAAGCGCAAGGCACAAAACATCGGCTACCGTCTCGGGCACCGCCGAGCGCTCTTTGAGAAGAGGAAGCGCCTCAGTGACTACGCACTCATTTTCGGCATGTTCGGCATTGTTGTCATGGTCATCGAGACTGAGCTCTCCTGGGGGCTCTACTCCAAGGTACTGACGGGGCCAGGGGTGTGTGTGTGGGGCTGGTGGTACCAGACAGTGGCTGGTGGGGTGAGCATGGAGCTGTTTGCCCCATCTCGTGTCCCACGGGATAAACACAGAGCCATTTGGCCCAGCTGGTGTCCCATAGGATAGACCTGGAGCTGTTTGGCCCATCCAGAGCGCAACAGGGTTGGACAGGCTGGCAGGGGACTGATGGAGTGTCCCCAGGGCCTTAGTGGATGCCGCAGCCACAGGTGTTGGACAGGCAACCAGAGGACCTGGGGCTGCCAGGGCTGTGTGCCAGTGAGTGCTGTGCCGAGTCCTGCCCCACACACCCGCAGCGACGGGCACCGACCCACTGAGGTTTGCGGTGCCTGTTGCTGCTATGGTCAGGTGCTCCTCAAAGTGCCCTTGGTGGTGCAGCAAAGCACCCCCTCCCTCCTCCTCCTCCTCCACACCCCTTCCTTCCATTTGTTTTTCCTTCTTTTTTTGCAGGACAGTGTCTTTTATTTATAATTCTCCCCCCCACATCCCTTCCAGCTCCTGCTCCCGGGCTGCGCTGGTTGGCAGCGATATGAATAACTCTTTGTATAGACATCTGTCATGTTATTTATACCTATCCAGAGAGGGGAAGGCATCGGCACCCGCATCAGCACCCATGGGCGTCAGAGGGACGGTGCTGCCAAGGGGGCTGGGGGGCAGCCAGCGGGGGTCCGTTTGCCACAGTGCCACCGGTGGAGGGGAAGGAGCAAGGTGGGAAGGGGGTGCTCACCACTTCCTGCCATTATCCAGCCTGGGCAGCGGGGAGGGGAGTGTGGGTGGAGGAGGTGGGGGAAGGGAGGGACGTGGCTGGGGGTCCCGTGGGTGTGGGGGACCCTGCTGCCTCCCCACAGAGCTGCCTGGTGGGGGGGCTCCTGAGTGCCGTCTGTCCATGGCTGACAGCATCAGTGGGTGTGTGGGGGCTGCAGGCAGCAGTTCCACTGCTCTGTCCGAGGCAGTGGGAGGCCTTGGTGCCAAACTGGCATCCCTGGTTCCCCTGCTAAGGCAGAAGGATGCTTCACTGCCAGAGCCTTTTCCCGGTGATTCCCACTCTCCTTTGGCAGGAGCAAGGCCAAACCATTCTCCCCCACCTGCGCCTGTACCTGTTGAGCCGCGGCCGCCCTTGCAGGCTCCATGTGCCTGCTTGCCCGGCACCGGGGGGACTGTCCACCCTCACCAAGCTGCCAGCAGCACCGCTGCCATGCTCACTGGCCCTGGCACACTGGGCTGCTTTGTCAGCTGGGGAAGACCCTGTGAGTCAGCGCTGCCACCATGCAGCAGCTGTGACCTGCTGCTGCACCCCTGCCCCACTGTGGTGTGAACGCCCCACTTGTGCTGACAAGCGCAGGGTGCAGGGGAGTCCCTGGGCCCTTTTCTCCCCAGGCCTTTGGCCAGATCTACAGCAATGGGGCTACTGGGTGTAAATTCACCCCCATCAGCCACCGCTGTGAAACCAGAGCTTGCCGGCAGGGACACAACCTGCCGGCATGGGAGCACCTGTATAGGGGTCAGGACCAGCTGCTGTTGTGCGGACTGGGATGTCGGTGCTGCTGGCACTGGCTCAGCTCCAGCTCTGTCCCATAGCCCCAGCCATGCTACCACATGCTCCTAGCCAGAGGGTGCCAGGGCTGATTTGGGAAGGGAGGACACAGTGGCCAGGGTTTGCCTGGTCCCTGTCTGTCAGTCCAGTGTGGGCAGGACAGGGCCTCTCCTGCCTGTGGGACGGCACTGCTGCTTCCAACCACCTGAACGGCACTGCTGGGGTGAAGCACCTTGCCACCCACGTGGTGCAGTGGGACATGTGCTGCAGGTGCCAAGGTCTTGCCTCATTTCAGCCAAGATCCCATGTTGCTTGCGGCGAGCATGGGATCCCAGAACAGTTCTTTGGACCTGACACTGGCAGGAGGCATTGGTAAATGTAATGGGTAACATATGCGAGGTGAGCCAGTGGATGCCCGTGCATCAGGCAGGGTTGGTGCCACTGGGAAGGCTCTGGCCAGAGCTGCCTTGCCACATTTCTGCCCTGGAGTTTGCCTATTAATAGCTAGTATTTGGTCCCAGCACTTCTCTCAGCACCAGCCATTATATCCACACAATTGTGCGGCTGGAGCCAAGTTGTTAACAATGCATCACCGCCTCCGCAGCAAATAGTACCTTCTCCGCGTGCAAACGCCCCTCAGGGATGAGGAACACCGGTGAGAAGGAGCCAAGGGAACCTGAAGGCAGGCCAGCACACTGGCGAGCCAAGGAGGGCCTGTCATGAGTGTGCCAGGTCTCACCATGGTACGGATGGGGGAAGGGGGTGTGGGACGGGTGCAGCAGCAAGGCAGGTTGGTTTAGGGATAACAACTTGGTGAGGTGCTGCCAAAGCCCTCGCACTGGTGGGGTCAGTCTGTGGCTGCACCCACATGAGCTTACCGGTGTCCAAAGGAGACGGTGAATCCTGTTTTTCCCAGTGGGGTCCTGGGGATCAACCACTTCGGCCACCAGTGAATCAGGAGCTGGTTTAATTTACATAGGACTAATTAGCAGGAGGATCTAGGCCACCCATTTGGGTGCCATAATATTGGGCTCAGGCTGGATGGGGCCAGGGTGCTGGCGTCACACATCTCAGTGAGGGGAGGCTGGGAACTGCACTCAGCAGAATTAATTTTAAAAAAGAGTTTTGGAGGAAGGGCCCACGGTGCTGGTGGTACCAGTGGTGCTGGATGCCAGAGGTGCCAGTAATGTCGATGGTGCTGATGGTGCCCTCACTACCATGCCAAGCTGCTTAGGGTGGGGGCTGAAGCAGCCAAAGTGCTATTGAGTGGGAGATAGTAGGTGTTGGGGGTCAGCACCTTCCTTGGGGTGTGGAGCCCAGGGCCAACAGTGTCCCACAGCAGCACACCCCCTAATGCCTTCCCCACTCTTGCCCTGCAGGACTCCATGTTCTCCCTGGCCCTGAAATGCCTTATTAGCCTCTCCACCGTGATCCTGCTGGGCCTCATCATTGCCTACCACACACGGGAGGTGCAGGTAGGTGCTGGCATCATCAGTGCCAAGTGAGGGGCTGCTGGGGTGGGCTGAGGGATTTTCCAGCCACCTGGGTGGGACATAGTATCTGAGCTCACTACCTGCATGGAGCCTCCTCCCTCCTTGCCAGGGCCTTGGGGGGCAGTGAGCCGGGTGCCCGGTCGATCTGCTGGTGGCTGGGGGAAGCTGTGGCCAGGAAGGGCTTGGACCAGCCGAGGTGCCAAGGAAAGCTGTGAAATCCTTACCTAATCAGGGCTGCACATTCTCTTCCTCCTTGAGAAGTTAAAGGGCTCCCAGATTGTGACAGGAAGGCTGCACTTCCCCACCGTAACTAGCTTCGGCATGATGCCGGCCTGTTTTGGGCATGGGAGGAATGAATCACCAGTCAGGAGAAGGAGCATCCCGGGAAGGGATGTTGAAGCTCCCAGTCCTGAGTGTACCATAATCCCAACTTGTCCCTCTCGGGGCTGAGTGCCAGTGTGGCTTTGCCAGCATCCTGGTCCCTGCCCGCCTCTGTCCCTGCAGCCCCCACTCCAGCTCAGCCTGCCTGCATGGGGACCAAGCCTGGGGGTGGGTTGTTCAAAACAAGTACTTGGCAGCTGTGGTTTTTGCTGGAATAATATTTACCCTGGGGTGGCAGCGGTCAGGGTCAACTGAGCGAGCCATGCCCTGGTGCTCGTGGCTTCCTCTGCTTGTTGTTCCTGGCAGCATGTTGTGCAAATACAGCGTCCACCCTCACAGCCGTCAGGTCATCCCCCCTCTCCCGCCTTGACCAGAGCCAAAATCTCACTGCTGTCCTTCTCCACGCAGAGACCAAACCTCACTAAAGTCCTGGCTGCTCTGGCAGGCCAGTTACACTGGCAAGGAGGGGAATGAGATTGGTTTGACTCGAGCTGCTCCAGACAGAGATGTGCTGGCTGCTTATCACCCTATTATCTCTTAAGTGTTGTAAAAGCATTGCTGATAATCCAACTGGGGTGGAGTGGAGCTGCCAGAGCTGTAAATCCTCAGCTTCTTGTCCCTCTCACCCAAGGAGGGGGCTGTTCTCACACGGCCATGGCACTGTCAGACCTCCCAGCCTCCGGGAAACAATGACTTCAGTCTCTTCCCTCAGTATCCCATCTTCCTCTCTTGCCCAGAGAAGCTGTGGCTGCCCCATCCCTGGAAGTGTCCGAGGCCAGGCTGGAGCAACCTGGTCTAGTGGAAGGTGTCCCTGCCCATGGCAGGGGCTTGGAATGAGATGAGCTCTAAGGTCTCTTCCAGCCAAAGCCAGTCTGTGATTGTATGACCCTACTAATTGTGTTAATTAGTCCTCTGGGATACTTGAAGATCTTTCTGTGCCTCAGTTTCTCTGGGGCTGGGGCACCCCAGCAATGTCTCTGGTGCTGGGTGGAGGTGTGGAATGTGCCATCCCTTGCCAGCACGCCATTATCACTACAACACGTGAAGGAATGCAGTGCTGGCGAGTTTGCCAGTGCCAGCCAAGGCGTTTGGGGAGGCAGAGCCCCCCTTGTCCCCACGCTTGACTCCCAGGGCTGTTTGCACATTTTGGTGAAGCTTTTGTCCCCATGCTGCAACTTAGTGGTTTCTTGGGTTTCACTTGTATGGAGATGTGGTGGCTGACACACTTGCTCCTTCCCCTGCTGGAGCCAGTGATGCTGGGGATGCTCTTTTGAGTACCACTGGACCACACCAGGTTTCCACGGAAACCCACAACGATGCTTCAAAGGTGCAGAGCTGAGAGGGTCTGGCTCAGGGGACACCTGCCTGGATCCCCCCTTGCTCCTTCCCTTACCTGAGTTGGACTATGGCAACCCCCCACTATGCAGTCAAAAGGCCTTTTTCCTCTTGCTAATTTGTTTATTTTAACACCCTTTTCCAGGAAGGAATGGGCTGTCAGCTTGCTAAATGCCTGAGGATCTCCCTTGACAGCTTGGAGCATTTTTATAAACATTTTCTCAAACAAAGCAGCTAAAAAGAGCAGAGCTTTCCCTACAGAAAGGGAGGTGGCCGGGACGGCCATTCCAGGAGTCAGTCCCAGTGGCTCCTGCTATCCCCAGGGAGAGCCCCAAGGGCCGTGCCCTGCCAGCGGGGTGGCTGGCACAGGTACACTGGGGCCTCTGGGAGGGCAGGAGGATTGTTCCTGGGCTCAGTGCCAGCCAGAGCCATGCTCCCCACCCACTGCCCTGGCTGGAGTGACTGCGATAGGTCCTGGACCCCTGGGCACGCTTTGTGCTTGCAGGGTCAAGGACATGGACTGTAGCACCAGCTGCCACATCCCCTTTGATCCCTTCCTGGTGGCATCTTTGCCAAGTGCTGCTTGCAGAGGGGCCCTGAGAACGTTCCTGCTGCTGTGGGTGACACCAGTGTCCCCACTGCACCAGGGAGAAGCCGATGGCAGCCTCAGAACAGACCTGCCAAGGCAGGACAGGGTGGATGACTTCCAGAGCTCTGGTGGCATTCCAGAAAGGCCAGCCCAAGCTGCCATCCCCCCCAGCTCCTGCAGAGACCCTAACTCCATCACTGATGGTGGGAGAGGAGCTGGTGTACCCAGGATGTCTGTTGCCATGACAACTGGATCCCATCTCTGCCAGCAGCTGGATGCTGTGACTGTGGTGTTGCCTCCCCAAAAATTGCCCTGGAATTCAGGGTGTGGTGGCTGTCAGTGACACCAGTGCAGCACCATTGGGAGCAGAGGGGTTGGGGTGGCTCATGCTGGTGCTCTGTGGCCCCACAGCTCACCCGTCTCTGTGGCCTGGGTGAGGGGGCCATTCTGGGAGGTGGGCTCCTGCCAGCTGGTGTTTCAGTGAGCTGTCCCCATGTCATGCCTGGGCACATGCTCAAGGCCAGGCACCTTAAAGCCTTCTGGAGTGTCCCCAGCACTGCAACTACCCCTGAAACACACTGGCAGATCAGCAGAGGTGCTGGTGATGGCTCATTCCCACCCTTTCCTACCCTGTCCATCCTCAGTGCTCCTGGCCATGCCACACCCAGATCCTTTTGGCTCTAGTGTCAGACCCCTGCTGCCTATAGTGAGAGGCCAGTGGGGCAGGTTGGCTGGGGCCACCAGTAACCACGTGGTTTTGCGTCTCGGTAGCTCTTTGTGATCGACAATGGAGCTGACGACTGGCGGATAGCGATGACCTATGAGCGCATCCTCTACATCAGCCTGGAGATGCTGGTTTGTGCCATACACCCCATCCCTGGGGAGTACAAATTTTTCTGGACAGCCCGCCTGGCTTTCTCCTACACACCTTCTCGGGCAGAGGCGGATGTGGACATCATCCTGTCCATCCCCATGTTCCTGCGCCTCTACCTGATCGCTCGAGTGATGCTGCTGCACAGCAAGCTCTTCACCGACGCATCCTCACGCAGCATCGGGGCCCTCAACAAGATCAACTTCAATACCCGCTTCGTCATGAAGACACTCATGACCATATGCCCTGGGACGGTGCTGCTGGTCTTCAGCATTTCCCTTTGGATCATCGCTGCATGGACAGTCCGTGTGTGCGAGAGGTGAGAGAGGTTTGGAGTGCGTGGTGGTTCAGGATGGGCAGTGGTTTTGGAGATGTGGCATTTCTGGATGCTTGGTCGTTCAGGATGCTCAAGAGTTCAAAACGCTTGGTAGTTTGGGATGCTCAGTGTTCAGGAGGCACGTCAGTTCAGGATGCGTGGAGGTTTGGAATGCGTGGCGGTTTGGAACGCTTGGCAGTTTGGGACGCACAGTAGTTCACAATGAGCAGCAGTTTGGGATGTGCAGAAGTTTGGGATGATCAGTGGTTCAGGATGTGCAGCAGTTCAGAGTGATGTGCAGCAGCTCTGGATGGTCAGCAGTTCACGGTTTGGGATGCATGGTGGTTTGGGATGCTCAGTGAAGCTGCGATATCCCAGCACCCTGGGGCCTTGGCAGCCACGGGTTTCCCCCCACCAAGCCCTGTCCCCAAGGCAGGAGGCAGAGCAGGGTCAGCCCTGTCCTTGCAGCACAGTGCCTTGGCCAGGGGACGGTGTGAGGTGCCAGGAGCCCCGAGAGTGTGGGTGGGGGACATGGAGAGCAGCAGGAGCTGGGGGACTGTGTATGGGGAGAGGCCAGAGGTGCCGCTGGTAAGGGGCGGGGCCTGGCTCAGGCTCTGGCATCACTGTGACTGACTGCCATGACAAAACTGCGGTGAAAAACCCACAGCCAGATGGCATTGTGCCAGCACTGGCGTGCCTGGTGGGTACCAGTGCATCTCCATCTCCCGAGGACCTGCCACCACTCTTTGTCCACCAAGGGAACCAGGGGGCTGTGGTGGTGGCATCCCCAGTGCTGTGCCAGCGGGTTTTCTCCATGGCCATGGTGCAAGGTGCTGGCAGCACGGAAGGCAGGTCTCCTGCAGGGTGTCCTGTGTCCTGTTGTGGCAACTTTGTGTCATCCTTGGAACTGTCATGCAAGGGATTACACTCCAACTGGCATTACACAAACAGGGTCACCTGGGACACCCAAATTGCTTCCAGGTGCTTGCAAGACGAGAGGAAGGCCACCCCTCCTCTTCCCCAGGGTGAGACCTGTTGCTCTGGTCACCCACAAAGAGGCATTAGGGCAGATGTAAGTGCTGTGGTAGAGGTATAGGAGGGCACCCTGAGATTTTCAAGCTTTTACAGGCTGTGTTTGCCTTCCTGCCTCCCTTAATGATGCTCTCCTTTTGAGCTGGATCCTTAGGTGCTGCTTAACTGTGTTTGGAGATTGTTGTTAGTGAATCCTAAATAGGGCACAGGCAGACAGGCACCCGGGACACACACAAGAGGGGTGATCTCACATCTTGCGAGGCTTAGGCAGGAAAACACAATATAAATAAGGAACCATTAGAGACCAAAAAAAAAAATCCCAGAAATGACACAGACGAGGTGCTGCAGATCACCAGCACAACAGTTGACATCACCTCCCTCTGTCTATAGAGTGGCAGAAGCGAACCCAGGTGGTCTGGAGATGCATCAGCCCTGGGGGAGGCAGGACTGGGGGATGCAGAACCTGTGGGACATGCTCCACGTGAGAGGGACACACTGTCCCTGGGGCATGCACGAGCCCTGGGTGTCACACAGCTCCCACAAGGGCCACCCGGAATGTGTCCCCCTGTCCCCACTGATGGCAGGTTGCTGCACCAGCACTTGAAACCAGTTTTCTCTTCCTTGCAGGACCATTCCCAACCAGTACCTGCCGGGGGCCAGGCAGCTCAGAGGTGGTTGTGTCGCTCCAAGACATCGTCCCCGGGGCTGGGGGTGGCACGGCCATGGCACGTCCCCTCGGCACCGTGGGCTGCTCCAGAGCCTGTGGGTGCAGCATCCTCCCGTGCGCGCTGGGGGGCCGCAGCTCTCCGAAGGCAGCGAGTCGCTTAGCAACCTCGCCCGCTCGCCTGGCCACCGAGCACAGCCGCCTGCGGTGCCTGCGCTGCCGCCAGCGCTGCCGGGCCTGCCCGCCGACGGCGCGCGCGTGCGCCCGCACGTGTGCTCGTTCGTGCAGCCAGCTCACCCCCGGGGCACCCACCGGGGCTGGGGCTGCCCAAAGCCGTGGGGTTAGTTCAGCCGAGGTGGTGCTGCTCGGCGTCTGGCGGCGCGGTGCAGGCGGGGGGTGACGCTTGTGTCAGCCACAGCGACGGGGTGGCTGTGGCCTCGACGGGGGGCAGGCGGGCGAGGGGACAGTGGGAAGCAGTACTCAAGTCTGGCTGATTGCAGCAGTCCTTTGGCATGAGCGGGTGGCCCCTCTTCCTGCCCACACCAGCCGTGGTGAGTGCCAGCCTCTGGTTTATCAGCTCCTTCTGCCCCAAGTGCTGGTTGGAAGAGAAAACGTCCAACTGTCCGGCTGGGCTGTAACCCCCTTGTCCAGCCTGATGCTCTCGAGGTCATCCCCCAAGACATTCCATCCAATGTGATGAGCTGGGCTCAGCCCTTCACAGGGGAATACACTGGCCGGGATAGGGGGTGCATGCCACTGCTGGCGCTGGGATTTTGGGGAGCCCCACTGTGGTTATGGGCTATAGCTCCCCTGGCCCGCTGCCCAGAGCAACTCTCACCGTGGCTGAGGGTGCTTTTTCCTGCACCAGGATCTCATTTGAGTATCCGGTTACTTGAGGGAAAAACATTTCGTAACAGGAGAAAACCCAACTGCTCTGGGAGCAATGAGCCGGGAGCCGGGATTGCCAAAAGCTCCGTCTGTTTTCCCTCTCATGACTCCATGAAAAGGCTGGAAGAAGACTTGCTGGGGAGGCTGAAGGGCAACTATCCTATCCATGGGGGAACAAAGGTGCTGCCTGCCCGTGCCCAGGGCTCAGGGCCAAGTCCTGCTGCAGACTGGGCCAGGCCCCGCTCTGCTGCCAGGAGTCAACACTGCATCCCCCGGGAAGCGTTACTTGCACAGCTTGGCCAGGTTTGCACCAGCCCTGGGGAGCAGGAGATGTCTGGGGCCCCCATGTTTGCTGGAGGAGCTGCAGCCGACGTCCAGGATGGCCAGAGCAGTTGCTGAGCTCATAGCTCAGCAGGGACATGACCTGGAAAGTTTGCAGCACATCCCTGAAGCTGCAGCCACTCCACGTGTGCTGTGTCTTGAGTGTGTGAGCCATTCCCCCGCACCATCTGAGAGCCAAGTGGATGCTGGAGGCTGGGTAGAATCCGTCCCTGGTGGTTCTTCTGGGGCTGCTGACGGCAGTCCCCTGGGGCAGCACAGCCCGGGCTGCAGCAGCGCGAGGAGCAGGGGAGGATGCCAGCAGTGGGGCTGCTGCAGTCGAGGGTTTTGCAGAGGCACAGCTGTTTCTCCCATCAGCCGGTTCTCGCCACAGCACCACATGACACTGGGGACACAGGGAGCGGGACGGGGATTTGGTGACAGGTCTGACTGAAAGCAGAAGCCCTTTCCATTGAGTTTTTGCTCTGATTTTGTCCATCTGGGTTTTTCTGCACCAGAAATTGTGCAACCACTGCTGCTATGGGACGTCCTGCTGTGTTGTTAATCCTAAACCCCAGCACAGCCTGTGCCAGGGGAGCCACTGTGCCCAGGCACCCCTGTTTCTCCCACACCCATCCCTGTCCCCTGCTGTGACACTGATGTCTGTGTCTCCTTGGCAGGTACCATGACCAGCAGGATGTAACCAGCAACTTCCTGGGTGCCATGTGGCTCATCTCCATCACTTTCCTCTCCATTGGCTATGGTGACATGGTCCCACACACCTACTGTGGGAAGGGAGTCTGCCTCCTCACTGGCATCATGGTAAGGGCTGTGCCAAGCCAGCTGCCCATCCCACGGGTTCTGCCTGTCCCCAACACAGCAGTGGGGCCACTGGATTTTAAGGGGACCTATTTCCCAGCTGTTTTGTCCATGTACAAGGTGTGAGGCTTCAGGTCTGAGGTCTCACAGCCTGGAAGCTGATGGAGCAGTCCTAGCTGGTGAATTTGGGGTGGATTTGGACCCGCATTCAGTAAGCGTGGAGGGAGCCACCCACAGTAGGGCCAGTGATGTGCCCAGGGAGAAGAGGGACCCCTGAGCATCTCTTGGCCTTCCTGGTGCACACCGTCTTCTGTCACTCAGAGTGATTCCAAATGCTGCTGACTCCTGCTAAGAGCTGGAACCAGCTGGAAGCCCTTCACCCCCTGCCAGCATCACTGCTCTGCCATGGCTTCCCTTCCTTCTGGCCAAAACGTCACCATCTGCCAGGGCCTCAGGCATACCTGCTCCAAGGTGCCCATGAGATCTCCCAGCTCGTGGGACTTACCAGCCAGGGCTGATGAAGGAGTGGCCAGGGGCCTGGTGGCCATGGCTCCTCCAGAGATTTATCCCAACACCCAGCACTCTGGCTCTGCCCACCTTAGCTCCAGGCCCTGGGGATGGAGCCATCCCTGTTCCCAGCTAAGGGCAGCCCCATGAGAGCCTTCAGCCAGGGCGGCTCCACCATCGGGGATTAATTTTATATTATCTGCAAACCTTTGATCCATCTCAGATGAAGCCGGTTCTATTGGTGGGAGCCAAGCAAGGGAGAACAATTCCCTATGGGTGGGGGCCATGCAGCGATTCCCAGCAGGGGAGCAGCCACTGGCTTGGCCAAGGGGGTCCCAATGCCACAAGCTCCCAAAGCTGTCCCCCAGCCCACGGTTACTTTGAAGTGAGATACCATCCTTCAAAGTGTCCCCCACCCCCAGCACAGCAACCCCCCCCCCCCCCCAGGAATGCAGATCCTGTACCCACTGAGGCTGGGGGCTCTACTGGGCTTCCCAAGCCATGGCACCAGGGGTGGTTGCCCCACCGGGAAGAAAGAAATGGTAGGAGCTGAGAGAGTGCAGTGGTCCCACTTCTGAGGATACGGAAGGATTCAGCTCAGGGCATCAAGTTAATTAATGACTCTATTAAATTAAAGAGCGCTTGCCAGGCTGGCGTGGCTCTGCCAGAGCGCTGGAGGGAGCGGTTCAGCCGATGTGGGCAGCAGTGGGCAGAGCTCAGGAACACAGCAGGGAGGCTCTGGAAGGAGCACCTTGGCTTTCCAGAGACAATGTGTGCTGGGTTTGATGGCTGCTGCACAGATCCGGCCCTAATAGCCAGGATAAGCAAGCTCCCAGCTGGTGCTGTTGGAAGCTGTGGTGATTTGAGGGGTCCTGATTTGGGGCCCCTTCCCTGCTCTCACCGAGGTTGCCTGGTACTTCCCCACCGCTCTCCCACTCCCCCCTCTTTGGATTGGGGGGCTCCCCATCCTACAGGGCACCAGCATGGGGCAGATCCCTGGCCTGTGATGGCACAGGCTCACCACTGACCTTGTCAATAGCCTTGGTCTCTCCCGTTAATTACCCAGTCCCCCATCAGCCACTCAAGGACACCCAAGCTCTGTGATATCTCCTTGTTAGGGTAATGGGGAGGGCGTGTAGCTTTAGTTAATTAGGGGATTGCAAGGGGGAGGGTGTAAGTGCTGCTGTTACAAGAGGGTGACAAACCATTTCCCCAACTGATATCCCTGAACAGGGTGCTGGCTGCACGGCACTGGTGGTGGCTGTGGTGGCCAGGAAGCTGGAGCTCACCAAAGCTGAGAAACATGTCCACAACTTCATGATGGACACACAGCTGACGAAGCGGGTAAGGTGCCATGGGGGGGCAGCAGGAGCAGGGGGCCATGTCATCTGCCAGGAGCTGGGGATTTGGGATACCATGGCAGGAGGAAGGTGTCAGCACCTCTGGGTGTGGGTCCTGTGGGTACCACGGTGGAAAAAGTTGTCCAAGTGCGATGGGCGCAGCTCAGGTGCAAGAGTTATGCTGAAAGCAAACACCATCAAGCTCTGTTCTGGGAATTTAGGCAACGCAGGATGCTCAGTCACACCCCAGAAAGGAAAAGCCTATTTTTTTTTTTTTCCCTCTTGGAGGATACAGACTCCTTCCTTTTGCAGAGCATGATCTCACTTCTGTTGGTGTCAGGAGGACAACCGGATTTTGGCAATTCAGTGCTCACTGCAGACAAGAGCCATTCTGTGAGGCTCCTGCCATTTCCATTCCCAAGGAGGGACCTAGAGCCTGCAATGGGGGATCTATGGGGTCGCTGTCATGCCAGGGTCTGGTGTCAGGTCCCTGGTAACATGTGGGGGCTGCAGGAGGTCTCTGGTCTCAGTAGCTTCATCATGGCAAAACATTGGCAAACCAACAATGGCATATGATGTAATGAGAATGGAGCCCCCAGCAGAGACACATCCCAGCCAGAGCCCTGACACCCCAGGGACAGTCAGGACCTCGGTGTGACTGAGCCGGAAAAGCAAACAGCTGGTCAGCCCTCTCCTCTGGCCATGGATATGGATCTCTCGGCTCCATGCCAGGCAGACGGCAGCCAATTCCTCCTGGAGTGAGAGCAGCAGAGATGCGGTTTAGCCGGGGAGCCTGCGGAAGTTGCGGACCGACCGGGACCTGCCAAGAGTGGCAGATGGATGCAGGAATCGAGAAAAACTTTGGGATTTTTTTCTTTTTCTTGAACCTTAGGGTACAATTTCACATGCAGGCGAGGAGCCCAGTGCTGAAGCATCAGTGCAGAGCAGGGTGGTGGTGCGGGTGCCAAGAGCTCTGCCTGCCCTTGCTCTTGCTTGAGGTGCCCATCATTCCTTGAGAGGCTGAGCGCCTCGCTCCAGCTGGGGCCAGTCAAGTGCTCTTGCGACACCAATTCATGGCAGAGCCAGACAAATGTCTCTGTGAAATCCCACATGCTGGGGCCTGATGACCTGCAGCCAGCTCTTGTTTTGCAGATCAAGAACGCGGCAGCCAACGTCCTGCGGGAAACGTGGCTCATCTACAAGCATACCAAGCTGCTGAAGAAGATCGACCATGCCAAAGTCAGGAAGCACCAGAGGAAGTTCCTACAAGCCATTCACCAGTAAGGGACCACACACTGGGCTGGGGGCATGCTGAGCCCTAGATGAACTGAGGCCTAGTCCCTGGCAGGGGTGTGGGGACAGTTTTCCATTGCCTAGGATGCAAGCAGCTCTCCAGCTGCACTTTGAAACTGGGTAGGTGTGCAACCATGTTGCTCTTTCCTTCTCCCCAGGTTGCGGAGTGTGAAGATGGAGCAGAGGAAGCTGAGTGACCAAGCCAACACCCTTGTCGACCTCTCAAAGGCAAGTCCCTTGTGGCTCAGCCAGACTGAGGAGGAACACCTGAGTGTTTCTCTTCACTCAGAAAAAGTAAAGCAGGCCTGGCTGACTGCAAAATACTCCAGCTTAGTTGGTGTCAGCCAGGAATAGCTGCTGTGGGATGGCTGCCCTTGGAAGGCAGGAGGAGAAACTCATACACAAGCCAGGGGCTCCCTGCACTCGCTTTTGCAAGGGGTGCCGCTGCTCAGCAACACAGGGCTGGCAGAGTTTCCTTGCTGTGATGTCCAGGGATGAGCCAAATCATCGTCACAGAAGCTTGAGAACTCTCGGGGCTAAAGGGGTCAGCTCTGCCAGCAGCAGCAGCACTAACCCCTCCAGCCATGGTACTAACCCCTCTGCTATCCCCTATGTCCCCTCCCCAGATGCAGAACGTGATGTATGACCTCATCACCGAGCTCAATGACCGCAGCGAGGACCTGGAGAAGCAGATCAGTGGCCTGGAATCCAAGCTGGAGCAGCTCAGTGCCAGCTTCAACTCCCTGCCACTGCTGATGGCTGACATGCTGCGGCAGCAGCAGCAGCGCCTGCTCACTGCCGTCCTAGAGGCGCGGGGGGTTGGAGTGCCAGTGGGCACCCCCCAAACGCCTCTCTCTGAGAGCCCCATTGGGGTTAGCTCCACCTCCTTCCCCACCCCTTACACAAGCTCAAGCAGCTGCTAAAATGCAGCCCCTTGGCCCCCCGTGGACAGGGGAAGCAATTTCCATACAGGTCACGAGGTCTCCGTGAACTTTCTTCTGGTCCTTGAACCGCTGCAGGACCCTTCAGCCGGAACTGGTGGGACCATCAGTGCCGAGCAACGCTTGGAGCTTTGCCAACGCCTTGGTATCGGGAATCGCATCCCTGTTCAGGTGCCTCTACACGTGGTGAAGGAAAGGGGACAGGAGGTGACGCCTCGGGCCAGCCCATGCTGTGGCGTCTGGTGGCAGACAGAAAACCCACGCTCAATCTCAGGTCTTCACATTTGAAAACAAAACAAAACATCAAGTCAGAAGCACTGAAGCAACGGAGACACCAGAGGGAGAGTTTTTCTCTGTGGGGCGCTCCCCTCTCACCACCGCCAAGCCCCACCAGGCAGATGCCAATGTAGGGATTCCTTACACAGGCTCTGGCCGATGCTGCCCATGCTCCATCCCATATCCTTGCCAGGACCCACAAGAACCCCCCCTCACATTGCCAGCTGGGTGACAGTTCCTGGCTGTAACCTGCCTGGGGGGTTCTCTGGAGCTCTGAGTGTTTTCTGTCCGGGGAAGAACAAGGGACACTTCTTTCTGGTCCTCAGTGTCATATCCTGTCTGGAGACATGTGCCAGAGCCGGGACAGCAGTGCCTACAGCGTGCAGGGCCGCGCAGGGCTGCCCCTGGCCAACGCACCGGTGGCCAGTGATGGGGCTGGCGGGCCAGCCCTGGCGCCAGAGAGTCTTCAGGTGCTCACATCACCGCCTTCTGGGAGTCCCCCAACACTTTGAGAAGGCAGTGGGTTCTTTGAGGCAACCTCAGAAGTACTGGATGGAACACTCCATCAGCTCCAACCATCTCCACTTGTACCAGGAACATCCACACTCGAGCCCAGCTGGCAGTGTTGAATACACCAGGGCCAAGCGGGATCTCACTGGCAAGTGATGTGGTAGCCAGGGTGGGTGCTTCATCTGTTTAAAACAAAGCCCATCGCCTTCATGCCACTTCTGCTGGGTTTGGTGGGGAGCAGCAGCACCCTCTGGAATCATCTCGGCAATGGCACTGCCACTCATGCCTGACAAAGTGCAGCCCCTCAGGCTCCATTTTACTTTTTTGCTGGTGTTCAGCTTTCTGAGGTACCCTGGGCATCATTTGGCTGCTTCTGGAACCAGCTACTTTCAGTTCTTCTTTCACCGTTTCCCCCTTTTTCCTCCTCAGTTCTGCTTTCCTGAGTCCATGCATGGAGCCGTGCAGGGCTCTGACTCTGGGGCTGGTGTTTGCTGCTTTCCATGAAAACTCAGCAGAGAATATTTATATATTTTTAAACAGATGAAGGAACCGCGTAATTACTCTGTGCTATTAATTACACCTCACCCAGCAGTGTCAGTAATTGTAATCAAAGTCACTGTGTTACACCAGGTATACTCAGCCTGTAATGTTATTCTTTGTAACTTTTTCCCTTCCATAAATAACGCTGAATTTTGTGCACATGTAGGGGCAGAGGCACACCACCCTCTCACACCACCACCTCCCCACAGCCAATGCCGAGGAATTTCTTTGCTGCCGGTGGTGTGAGGTGGTTATACTCCTTGTGCCCTGCAATTAGAGTTGCATAGAAAACAAGCAGTAGTTAGTGAGGAGGGCTGCCAGCCCACTGGCCCCAGGAGGAGGAGGACGAGGAGGAGGAGGAAGGCTGCAAGGCAACAGCAGGAGTTCTGTGACATTAGCTCCCAGTGCTGCAGAGGTGTTGGTAGCAGGGGAGCAAGTGTGGTCATCCCCATCCTTCATGTGGCCATCGCTCCTGGTCCTCGGCCAGCAGGAGATACTTGGCTTCTGAGAACTAACTGCTCTTTCAAGCTCTTGTAATTAGTGTCATTGATCTCCTGGGATGGCTGGGAGTGCCTTGGCAGCCCCCCAAGGTCTATTTTTAGCCCAGCTGCTGCTCCCCGTGTGCCTACGGGTGCCCCCCAGTCCACCTTGTCCAGCAGAAGCTCCTGCCCATCTCTGTTGGGAGGTTTCCAGAGTAACAATGGAGAAAAGGTTACAAATTCTGCGAAAGAGCCTGAAACCCAGCATTTTCCCTGGCCTGCGGGCAGCCAGTGGAGAAAAATGCTTCCTGGGCCTCAGATAGAAGCAAACTGCCCATGGAATGTAGCTGTGCATGGGGTGAGGTGCAGAAACGTGTCCTGGAGTGTCAGAGAGCCAGAGGAAGTATAGATACTCAAAGATCGATGTTGCCAGCAGGAATCCAGGAACCTCCCTACAGGCTCATGATCAAGTCTGGGAAATCCAACCGAGTGAGACAAGAGGCCTGCTGTCAGCTCACAGGCCTTGAGGTGCTAGAGGGGGGAAGGACCATGGCGAGAGGGTTGGGATCACAACCGGAGCAAGAGACCCTTGTCCTGGAGTAGAGCTGCTGCTGTCACAGGATTTTGACAGAGCTGGGGAGGTGGATCCCTGCACACCCCAAACCCTGCATCCCCTGGCCTCATGTCAGCACAACCTGCATCCCAATGACCCTTCTGCCTGGGGCCTGGCAGCCCTGGGTCTGCACCCTATGCCCTGCATCTTGCATCCTACCCACCCCTGCACCCCCATCCCACACTCACACACCCCCACCCCACCCCTGCATCCTGCACACATCTGTATCCCCATCCCACGCCTTGCATCCCACCCACCCCCTGCATTCCCCATCCCACACTCCTGAACTCCCATCCCAACCCCCAGAGACCCCATCCCACCCCTTGCAGCCCATGCACCCTGCAGCCCCCACCCTGCACCCCTGTGATTTCACCCACACCCATGCCAGTGCCTCAACACTGGTGCCAGTAGCCCTGACCCATTTCTGTTGGCACTGGATTCCACCAAGGCCAACACTGAGACTAACCGCCATCCAGCCCTGCTGCTGGGACTGCAGGCCATGGGGAGGGCAGGCACAGAGGAAGCCATCAGTGCAATCCAGCCCGGGGTGCCCACCCAGAGCCACCCTGCTCCCTGCCAGCAGCTCTCGGTCACCAGCAGCCTCAGCTGGCAGGGCTCCAGTGCCTGGCTCCAGTAAGTGCTCCCCAGCTGGTGCTGTCTGCACACTTGAGATCATCCCTTTGGATGCCCCAAACGGCATCGGGACAAACAGAGAGAAGAGCTGGGATCAGTGACCAAGGTGGAGGAAAAGCACAAGAGCAAAGCTGCAAGTTCTAATCACAAAGAGATGCCGACCTCCTGCAGCTGAGAAGCATCCGACCCCATGCTCCAAAAGGGGTCAATCCCTGACACCCCTCCAGGACCCACCTAACCCAACCAGTCCCATTTTTGGCACAGCCTTGGGGTTTTTTTTAGCTCCACGACTCTCCTTCCTGCGCCGCCTGCAAGGAAACATCCTAGAAATACCAGAAAAATTCCTCGTCCCCTCTGCAAACTCATGGACGGTTCTGTCCAGACTTAAGGAGCTTCGACCTGGGTTTGCAACTTGCCTCTGTACTGCTCGCTTCTTTTTTAATGATAGGGGAAAGCATAATAGTTTATTTTAACTATGAAATATATTGCTATATTATAATGGTTATGGTAACTTTCAATTACGCTTTTGTACCCAACACAGTTGTCGGCAGGCAGCGATGCCAGGCTGCTGCCAAAAATGTCTGTTTCTGAGTACAGCTGCTGCTGCTGGTGAGGATGGAGGACAAGGGGCAGGGAGGGGCATGGAACCCCAGTCATTATCCTTCATCCCCCAGGTGTTCATTCCCATTACCTGGAAGCTGACCTCTAGCAGGTCTGGATCCGTGTAGCCCACTGGCACCAGAGCTTTGCTTCTCCCTAGGAAATGGTCTGACTCCCTTTTCTCCCTGGAAAGGCATCCCCACCAGGTTGTCTCCTCCAACTGAAGGAGTGACTTGGCTCCCTGGGGAGCTGCGCAAGAGTCAAACCTCCCCCTTTCCTCCAGAATGGAGGCTCTTGAGGAAACAGTGGTGCAAAGTGTGCTGCTTCCTTCCTCTAGCCAGGCTCTTGGCACATTTCCATAGAATCATGAAATCGTTAAGGTTGGAAAAGTCCCCTAAGATCGTTGAATTCAATTGTTAACCCAATACTGCCAAGGCCACCACTAACACATGTCCCCAAGTGCCACATCCACACATCTTCTAAACCCCTCCAGGAATGGGGACTCCACCACTGCCATGGGCAGCCTGTGCCAGGGCCTGACCACCCTTACGGGGAAGAAATTTTCCCAATATCCAACCTAAACCTGGTACAACTTAGTGACATTCCTCTTGTCTCAGTCTCTTCTTCCGCATAACAAGTGGACATGTCCAGTTCAGGCTTCACTCCCTGCCCTGGAGAGCTGCAGCTTTTGCTCAGTCTCAAGCTGTGATGGCGTAGGAGGATGAAACCCTGAGCATGAAAGAGAAATGCAACGAGGTTGCAAGGACTGCTCCATCTCAGCCTTCCAACTGGGAACAGGCTGTCCTGAGTTGTGGCTGTCCCATCTCATAGAAGTGTTCAAGTCCAGGTTGGACAGGGTTTGAAGCAACCTGGTCTAGTGGAAGGTGTCCCTGCCCATGGTGGGGGCGTGGAACGAGATGAGCTTTAATTTTCTTCCAACCCAAACTGTTCTGTGATTCTGTGATTCTATGGACAGCTCGAGCCTCAGAGAGCACCTCTTCCTTACCACCAGCCCCTGACCTGATCCCCATTGGATCGTAAGTCTTAAACTGTTCTTTGGCAGCCCCAACACTTCTTCCCGGCCAGTCTAAACATATGGAACATGACATGTCCGGGAATAAGCAGCATCTATTGGATCAATTCCTGTTGCTTTTGTCCAGAGAAAGCCTAAAAGCCCCTTCACTGGCCCTTCCCAATCAGAGCTGCCATCACTGCCATGCTGTCACAGCTGTGCTGGCCTGATCCTCCCAGGCCAGTCAAACCCAGTAGGGCCCTAGCAGCAATGAGCTGCCTTGAGTTCTGGAGGCTCCTTGCTGGACCCCAGAACTGAAATCTCCCCACAGAAACCAGCTCTGATGGAGGAGAGGGGCTGGTTCCTCTAGGAGGCCAGGGCTAAGCCTCCACTGCTGCCAGCTGAGTCTAGGGGTGCCAGGGCATTTCTGGAGTTCTTGGCCCTCTGCACTGCTCTCCCTTGGGCTTCTCTGGCCCAGCATCTCCCTGCCAGCTCAGAGCCCTGTGCCATGGCCACCAAGTATGTTTGCTGGGGGGGAGGAGATTCCTCAGGAGCTTGAGAAGGGGAAGATGCTGCTGCCAGGCTCTGCGCTGGTCCCAGCTTCTCCTCGCTTGACTCCAAGCTCCCTCCTGAAAGGTATCCAAAGGCCTGAAGGCTGTAGAGAGGGGCTTTTGCAGGAGAGAGAAAAAGCTTCTCCGTGGCATTATTTATTTTCCTGTGGGATGTGCCATCTCAGAGCCCTGTGGGGCACTAGGCAGGGCTCCAGAACCACCTGCCCGGTGGGTGCTCTTGGCCAGGGGCTCTGGTGCTCCAGGTGCTGCAAACTGTGCACTCAGCTCTGCTCCTTCTTCTGCCTAAAGTGTTCTTCCCCCTGCTGGGGTCTCGGTGCTGCCGACACACCCGCCAGCAGGAGCTGCTTGCATGTCTCTGTGGTCAGGATCCGGCCCTGGGGTCACGTCCCTCCTTCAGGGCCAGTCTCTTGGCTAGGGGTCAGGAGCGAGGACTGGCCTATGTGACAACAGCCTATCCCCATAGCATTGCCATAAACCTGAGCTGTACCCAGAAACAGGCATGTTTTAAACTATGGCTTTAACCTGTTCACTGTAAAAAGTGCCTTGGACTTTAATCTGAAGAGGTCAGTATCTATAAGTATTTACCTGTGCGGGTGTGTAAGGATGCAGTTCTCTGTGCAGAGTTACACACACAAATATATGATCTATACGTACCTGTGCCTTGGCCCCTCTGTTCCAACAGCCGTGGGAGCTCTTTTCTTTCTGCTGCTGGGGCTGGAGGTGGAGTGATATCGGAGGCACTCCTGCCGCAGGGACCCCTTGCTGAAGGGAAACTGCGCTGCGAGGGTTGTGCTGGGTGCAGCTCAGTGGAGCTGATCTGTCCTGTGCATCCCCAGGAAGCAGTTCTGTGCTTCTCCATGTCTGTCTGTGTGCTTTGGGAAGACCCTGGTGAGGGGATACATCCCCATTCCCTTGCAGAGGGATGCCGGGTCTGGGATCACATCTCTGGACTGCCTGCGCCAGGAGCTGCTGGGCACTTTGTAAAACCACAGATGCTTGTTTTATGGGAGCAGCAAGGGGTTTTCCAGCCACCTTCTCCCAAAAGGGAGTTTTGGTTCCCATGTGCTTGGGCTGTGGCTGAAGGGGGGAGTGTAGGAGGTTGATGGTGTGGGAGATGTTCTTTACCCTGGCTCTGCATTGAGGCTCCCCATGCTCATCCAACTCTGCCCAAACATCAGAGCAACACCCCTCACCTCTAAAGAAATGAGGATAAAAGTTATTTGGGGTGCAAATGGCACAAAACCAACTTTCCCAGAGGAAATGCATTGGTAGAGATAAGGGGAAGCTGGATCCTTCCCACCAAGCACCACTAAATCCAGGCAACAAGTCTTTCTCAGAGCCTGGCAACACAGCGCCACTGTCTAAGGGACTGGTGCCCCAAAATCCATTCCCATATATGTGGGCCAGGGGGGTGCCAACAGGAACAACTCCCATGGCTAAGCATGGCTATGACTGTTGTGAAGCCCGTAGAGGAGAAGGAGGAGGAAGGTGGTGTGCAGCAGTTGAATCATGATGAATTGATAAATTGGACTTTTTTGGTTTTGAGCTAATACCTCTAAATCCTAAAAATACCTCCAGCAGTCCGGGGGACTCTCTAATAGGTGATTAAGCCCCTGGAGTTTCATTTCCAGTATTAATGGCTTAGTACAGCAGAGCCCTACTGTAGAAAGGCAGCTTTAGTTCTGATACTGCCCATGAAGACAAGGCAAAATGCATTCAGGCTTTGTGTGCAGCATGAAATCTGTTTTTAATGGCTCAGGATTAAGGCTTCTCCAAAGAGAAAGGGAGTCATAAAGTGGATTTCCATCTCCCCATGTCCATTTGCCTTTTGCTTTCCCAGTTCCAGGAGTGAGAAGGAGGGAGACGATGCCATTGGTGTGAAATTCTGGGCATCTTCACGCAGCCCAGTGCAATGTGTCTGCAGCAGCACCGGAATGTGCATTGCCAGGAGGGGAAGTGCACTTTGGAGAAAAAGAGGGGGGGAAAGGGAATAAAAAAGAAAGTAGCTATTGTTTTGCTCAACGGCTCCTTACAGATAGAAGTTTTTATAAACAGTGGGAAGCTACTGGCCTTCCACAAGGGAGGGGAAAACCCCAAGCAAACAGCTCCACAAGGCAAGGGTTTGAACCGGCATCTGCCCGCTGGGAGTGAGCAGGATGTGGGAGGCAGCTCTCGGGGGCGAGGGAGGGGCAGGCAGGGAACAGGGGCTTGGGATCAGGCTCTGCCTTTTCACGGAGGCAGGGAAATGCTCTGGCGCTGAGCTACGGCCTCTGCACGCCAGCACTTCCCCAGGCAGGAGCCGGGAGCCTCGCTCCCTGTGGAGAAGCTTTTGCTTCGAGCTGGACAACCCAGATCTGCTCCCCAGCTCCTGAACCCAGGAAGAAAAACCTCCAGGAAACCCCCTCCTGTACTTGCTGCAGAACTAAAATGAGCTGGGGAGCTGTTGTGCAG